GTGGTGTGGGTTCAGTGGTAACGGTGCTGCTGCTGTTTTGGTTTAAGTCCCAAATTAGGAAACATTATTTTACATAATTTTTTAATATGCATATTAATTTGCATAATTATTTTTCCTGTGTACCATTGAACTTCTACAAATTTCCCCTCTGGTCTGAGGGGGAGGCCTTTGAAAGCAGTCCTGGCATGCTCTGCGTATTGGGGCTTGCTTTATGGGGCATCACAGATGGGTGTCTACACACGGAGGCAGGACCCTCCGTCGGCAAAGGTTACCACCCGCTTCATCACAGTGGCCTAGGGCTGAGCCCTAAACATCCCCAAGGTCTGGGCTGCCTGTGCTAAGACTCAGCGTCTGAACTGGATGCTCAGCCTTTGGCCTTCCCAGGTGGGTCAGGGTGGGCCGGGCTCTGCAGTCCCCGGAGGTGGGGGAGTTTCTGGTGGCTCTCTCCAGCCTCTGGCGAGCTGCTGCATCGGACGCCTTGTTTGCCATCAGAGTGTGAGTGTGTAGCGTTCTTTTTCTCCCGGAAAACAACACAGAACAAAGGCTCACTTTTAAAGATGCCGTGCTACCTTGCCACCTTCATGAGAATCTGTCATTGCCGTGTCTAATCTTGCGGTGCACAGAATATCAAAACAAGCAGGGGAGGGACTGGCTGCAGGCAGCATGGCAGCTCCGCTCGGAACCAGCTGCTCAGCCTCTGCAGCGGGAAGCGGGAGCGGGCAATAACCACGCTTCTCTTCCCTCTGCTGTTCCTGTTCTTCAGGCCTGACCTTCGCAGGAGGGCCCAGCAGCAGCACCTTGCCGAGGCCTTGCGCTCCGAGTACGCAAGTGGGCTGGAGGCGGGCGGTGCCAAGGCCAAAAAGCAAAGCAGACAGGCCGAGCCGGGCGACGAGCTGGGCGCGACGAGCAGCGCCAGCAGCTCCAGCGACGTCTGAGGCCCTCGCCCAGCCCGGGCCGTGGGAAAAAAGAAAAAGTGCCCCCATGAAACAGAAACCCAGAAAGGCTCACCGAGGGACAGGACTTCCCAGAAAGTGTTTCAAACTCTGCTGCCACGGCCCGGCCCACGTCCTGTCTTACCGATCTCCCGGTACACCTTCCCCTGACAGCCCACAGCCCTCCCCCGGGGAGTGGGGCCCAGGCGGCACAGTGTAGCTTAGCCAGTTAGCCTGTATCTACCCGTAGACCTGCTCTGCTTGCCCTATCGCTGCCCACGCGTCCTCGCGCAGAACCGGTGGGCCCCCCCATTTGAGACCCGGTGCTGTGTCAGCCGGCAGGCTGTGACCTGCCTTCGCGCTGACCTGAAGAAGTACACGTTTACCCCTGTATTGCATGCATTTTGTAAACGTTTTGAGATCTGGATTTAAATTTGTAAAAGAATAAAAAATATTTATCCAACCACTTTGTCGACGTCCAAAGGCTTTGTGGGGACCAGGAGAGTTTTGGTGGGTCAGCAGACTCCAGGCTCCTGTCCACAGGCTGCCCGCTCCTCACCAGGGTCACACGCAGTGCTCGCCCTTCACGTCCACGAAGACTCTGGGCTGATTTGCCTCTGAAGTCAAAAAGCGCCGAGGTCCTGCGCTTCCCCCGCTTCGAGGTCCAGCTTGTCTGCAGAAGTCGGGGTCTCTGTTGTGGCCCAGCCTCAGCTGCCCTCCCCCGTGTGTTTTCAGGGAGGTTTGAAAGAGGACCCCTCGGTGTATTGATTTCTCAATAAATGTAAGATTTGGGCACGGGTGACTCCAGGGGGTCCGAGGAGGATGAGGGGTAAAGCCAATCACCTCTGTCGGGCCTGCTGTCCGCTCTCCTTCCACTGTCCGCCCCCCAGTTCCTGTGGTGCTGCGGGAGCCCCACTGCAGCAGGCCCTCCAGACCCATGTGACTGATTGGCCAGGAGGCTCCTGAGAGTGGCAAGGTGGGCACCACGGAGAGAGGGCCGGCGGGCTTCTGCCCCTGTGCAGGCACCGGTTCCACAGGAGGGAGAGCAGGGCCCCCCAGAGCTGCTGACCCCGTGGTAATCCTCAGGCCCGCAGCACACGCCAGGACGGTGGGCAGAGCTGCCCTTTTATTCTGATGCGTGAAGGTTCACATGATTTGGATGAGAAAAGGAGGGATCACACTATAGACAGAACCCAGCTGTGTGAGAAACAGGATTAGCGCCAGTGATGGGGACCATCAAAGAAACCTGACTCTCTTTTCCCACGAAAGGGGGGAGCCAGAGAGCTCTGCACTCCTGGGGGAGGAAGTGCCAGAAACGTGCAAAGTGTATAACTGACTAAATTCCGAGATCAAAACTTACACTCAATTTGCTAACACTTAGGTGAGGGTTTCTTGTCAGAGTGAATCCGTCTGTTACCCCCAGTTAATAAAGAAACACGGATTTAGCAGATTGAGGCTTATTATTCCCTAAATGTAAGTAACCTTAAAAGAAATCTCTGTCTTATTACAGCTCCTGCCAGATTATACAGTTCAGGCATCAATTAGGCAAAGCTTTGACCTAATTCCACTGCACATACATGTTGTGAGCCTTCTCCGTTGTACCTTTTCTTCCCTCTAATTTCCCAAACTTACCTGCCCCTCATATTTCAGGCCAGGGGGGATTTCAGTGTTTCCTGGTGTTGCAGCCTAAAGCCTTCCTCCCTATGGGCCCGTGGAGTGTGGTTTTAATGCCACCCTCGGGTCCTCGACCCTGCGACCCTGCAAAGCCTCACACCAGAGGGGCCGATCTGGCACTGAAGGGCGAGAGCCCTGGTGAGAGGGCCGGAGTCCGGCTGACGCAATCGGAGCGGCATCTTCCACTTGGGGGCTTAGAGCCAAGCAAACCCGCGAAGGGCGTTGGGAGACTCCTTTCTCCCCACAGTGAAGGGAGGCGAGATCGGGGAGAGGGGAGTACAGGAGACCCCTGAAGGCACGCCTATTCCGAGCTGCTGGTGGCCTTGCTTTTAGCACTTCAGCTCCTCACGGGAAAGCTGTGGGAACCATGAAGTCCCCTCCCTTCCCCCAGACAGAACGGAGGCTTTTCCACCAGAGAAGGCGCCCCGCGAGGAAGGGCGCGTCACTCATCTTGCCACGTCGTTGCATGGACATTACCTGTCATCTGTCCCACCGTAGGCCACTCAGAGTGGGGGCCACGGGGCGCCCTTCAGATCAGCTCCTCAGCTATTTCCCGGGGCCTTGCACCAAGGCTCCGGGGAATCGCAGCTTTCCAACCCTGTTGCCCCTCCGGGTTGTCAGTCTAGGCTTATGGGGGGTTGGGGGTGGCGGGCAGGAGCCTGGGAGGGGGGCAGAGGGAAGGCTTCTGGGTGCCTCCCACTGTCCTGCCTGCTGGGAGGAGGTGGGGCGATCACACTTTTTTAAGTGCGGGTTCGCCCAGCCCCGGGATTGGGAACAGAACCCAGTCCCACCTTGTACGGAGCGGCCGGAGCCCGCCTCGCCGCGAAGGCCGGGAAGTTATTACCGGTGGGGAGCGCAGGACAGTGTAAAACAGTGTAATTGGAAACTTGTCGGGAGGCTTGTTCTTCATTAGTGTGCGGCGTGAGCGGCCTCCGAGGTACAAGGACAATTACATGGCGCGGCCGTGTCTGCGCGCCGGCGGGAGACTGAGGGCGCCGCCCCGGCCGCCGCCCCCACTTCCACAAAACGAGAAGCACACCAGTGCGCGCTGTCCTTTGATAGATTTTTAATATGATTTTAGAGAGTTTTGTTTGGTCTCATTCTTATTCAATGAGATTAATTTGAAGCACTTATCCCCTGGGTTTAAGTCCGTCCGCGCAGGGCTTCGGCGGGGTTTGTTGCGCGGGGGGTTTTGTTTGCACGAGGCTCTGAGAGACTCCTTTCCCACTTCATTAACCCTGAGTCGGGCACAGTCCCCGTGCCCCCCCCCCCCCCCCGCAGCCGGGCTGGGGATTTACCACCCCCATTCACATGCAAAAGAACCCCAAAGCCAGGGCTCCTTGACTTAATTAGCTGCTGTGCATTTTGCAAAATTAGAATAATACCCTCACCGGCCCCCAAAAGGGAATGCGGGTGTGAGGGTGTAGGGGGTGGGGGTAGGGAGTCAATGCAGCAGGGCAGTGCGGGTGGAGGTTAAGCTGCCCCCAGCTCTCCACCACCAGGCAGTCCTCCGGGCGCGACCATGCCACCAAGTGAAGGGGCTCAGGCTGTTGAGCCCCCAAACCTCCCATCCCTGGGCGTGTCTCCGGTCCTGGGCGCGTGAGCTGCAGGTGGGAGCGGGGCACCCGCGCCGCCTCCCCCCTCCCTGGAGAGGGAACGGCCCCAGGAGGTGGCCTCGGCCCTTTCACCCTGAACTGGAGGCCTGGAGTCTGGCTGAGATCGAAGCCCCTTCCCCCAGGTCCTCTCTGCGGCTCATCCCCCACTTACTAGGGTGGAGGGAGAGGCGGAAGTGGGGTACCCGCTGGGGCGTCCGGTTCCCAGTGAAAGTTCCTGGGGTCCTACCCTCGCGGGACCGGAGCCACCTGGGCGCCCGCGAGCGGCCGGAGCCCCAACGTCGCCCGGGCGCGGGGCGGAGGGGCTGAGAGGGGAGTCGCCTCGGAGCCCATCTGTCGGCCCCGCGCCCGGCGGCCGGTCACCAGCTGCCGGCGCCCTTGTTGCGGCCAGATGAGCCGGCTCAGCGAGGGCACCGCGGCCCCAGCTCGGCCGCAGCGAGCGCCCGGCCCTGACCCCCCACCCCGCCCCGGGGACAGGCTGGGGGCGGCCGGGAACCAGATGGAGGGGGGGGGGGCAGCGAGCTCGCCGCACTGGAGAGGGAGGAAGACCCCTGCCCGGCGCAGCGCCGCCCGGGAAGGGAAGGAGGGGCCTGAGGCTCCTCGCGAGGACGGGGGGAGGCCGAGTCCCCGGAGGGGAACAGGGTGGTTAAGAAGCGCTGCGCGCGCACAGGCGCCCGGTCATTTGTAAGAAGTTTATTTCGACATTAAAAAATCGAGAGAGAACCCGAGGGCCTGGCTGCTGGGACCGAGGCTGGAGGGGGCTGGCGGCGGTGGTGGGAAGCCCCCGGCCGCTTCCTGCCCCGCCTGGGGGGCAGCGCACCGGCCACAGGCTCACTGACTCACGGACACGGTCACGGCTCATGGTCACGAATAAATAACCTCATATACACTTTGCACACCGTATGTACAGCGCTGCGCGCCCCCCTCCGCGGCAGGGGCGCAGGGAAGGGCTCGGTGCACAGCGGGCGCGTGGGGACGGGGGAGTGCAGCCCGGGGCGCCAGGCTGCTTCTGGGAGGGACAAGGGGGTGGCCTGGGCGCCGGCAGGGGGTGCAATGTATGTACATCCGCGGGTGGAAGTGGCTCCCGGTGGACTGGCCGAGAGGGAGGACGCCGAGGGAGGCTAGGGAGGCCTGGTCCGGGGTCGGGGTCCGGGCTGCAGGAGACTTGGCATCTGCCCTTCGGGGAACGCGCGGCCGGAGAGCCCAACAGGGGCCCCGGAGGCGGGCGGCCTCATCGGGGCTGCGCGGCGCGGGGCAGCACGCCGGCCAGCGGGGGCAGCGGCGGGGGCTCGCCGGCGCCCTGGAGTCCGTGGAGGAGGATGCGGGGCACCAGAGGCCGCTGCAGGGCGGGCGGCGGCGCGCTCGGCCCGCGGTACAGGTACAGCGCGGCGCCGGGGTCCAGGTTGGAGACGAGACTCTGCGGGTAGAAATAAGGCGACGGGAACATCCGCTGGAGCGCCGAGTAGTTGCCCGCCTCCGCCAGCAGCTCCAGCCCCACGGCCGTCTGTCGCTTCCATTTAGTCCTGGGGACCGAAATAAAAGCCAGGGTGGGGTCAGGGCTGCGGCCCCGGGCACCCCGCCCCTCGGGGTGCTGAGCCCATGGCCCTGCAGGAGGCCCCGGACACCCACTAAGGTGTTGGTTAATCAGGGGCGCCAGGCACCGCTTGCCCGTGTTACACGCATTCGCTCCTTCAAACTGCCGCCGGCCTTCCATGGCCACTCCTCCCCATTTGCAGATAAGAAAACTGAGGCACGGGCCCTCTCTCCAGATGGTCTCCCAGGTGGTAGAGCCCACCGCCGGCCTCTAACCTCGCACACTCTGCTCTGGGGAGGCACACCGGCCGCAGAGCTGTCGCTGGAACTTCCCCGGTGTATCCGCCCCCTGGGAGGCAAGGTGGCCCTGCAGAGAGGGCGGCCGGGTCTGTTTGCTACCACCTGTGGGGTGAGGCTGCACCGCCTCGGTACCGGTTAGCGCGCTTCTGCAGAAGGCGCACCAGCGTCGCGCACCCTCTCCCGTCACCAGGTCTGAGGCCTGGGGCCAGCCTGTAGCCTGTAGCCTGTAGCCTGTAGCCTGTAGCCTGTAGCCTGTAGCCTGTAGCCTGCCGGGCGCTGAAGTCCGGAGGCCACTGGAAGAGCGTGTGCGGCGTTGGGGACGGTAAGGGGGTTGAGGCACGGACCCCTGCGTGTCCCTGGGCCCGAGCTGGGCCAGCTCCTGAGGTCCCACTGAGGCTGGCTCCGCCACACGGACCCGCTCCCCTCCCTGAATTATTCATCATCATCATCATTGTGTAATTACTGTAACGGGCCTTAATTATTGATGCCCGGAGCAGTAATCGGTATTTATTATTAATGGGCGACGCGTTCTGAGGCTTGTTTATGGAGAGCACCGTTCTGGCCTCTGCTGAGTGTGGGAGTGACGGTGAGTTATGTGGTGTGTGTGTCTGTGTGTGCCTGTGACTGTGAGTTATGTGGTGTGTGTGTGTCTGTGTGCCTTGCGTGTGAGTTCTGTGTGACAGTGAGTTATGTGGGGTGTGTGTGTGTGTGTGCCTGTGACTGTGAGTTATGTGGTGTGTGTGTCTGTGTGCCTTGCGTGTGAGTTCTGTGTGACAGTGAGTTATGTGGGGTGTGTGTGTGTGTGTGCCTGTGACTGTGAGTTATGTGGTGTGTGTGTGTCTGTGTGCCTTGCGTGTCAGTGTTCTGTGTGACTGTGAATTATGTGGTGTATGTGTGTGTGTGTGCCTGTGACTGTGAGTTATGTGGTGTGTGTGTGTCTGTGTGCCTTGCGTGTGAGTGTTCTGTGTGACTGTGAATTATGTGGTGTATGTGTGTGTGCCTGTGACTGTGAGTTATGTGGTGGGTGTGTGTCTGTGTGCCTTTCGTGTGAGTGTTCTGTGTGACAGTGAGTTATGTGTGTGTGTCTGTGTGATTATGGGTTGAGTGTGTGTATGTGCGTGTGTGTTTATATATATGTATCTTTGTCTCTGAATGTGTGAGGGAGAGAGATTAGAAAACACCAGTTTCCCAGTCCCCAGAGGAGCTGCGGCGGGCCCTTCCCTGCTCCGTTTCAGTACAAGAGAGACTGAGGAGGCCAGAGAGGCTGGGTCGAACCCAGAGCCCTCAGCAGCTGCTGTGTTGGGCTACTTCTCCTGCCCCCCTACCTCCCCACCATCTCCATCCCCACCCATCCCCAGGGGTCTGCCTACTTGTCCTCCCCGAAAAATATTCTGGACACAGGCCACCACCCCACTCTGGCCTGATGCTCCCACTGGGAGGACTCAGTGGCCCTAAGACTGGAGCTCGGCTGGTCCAGGTGGGGAGGTGGGACCTGGCTGGGATGGGGCAGGCCCTGGACCTCCTGTGGCCCATGGCCTGTCTGTCCACCCGCCCTGGAGCGGATGCCTGGGCGCTGGAGGCCGAGTTCATGCCTGTCTCTGTGACTCGCGTGGACTCTGGGCAAGGCCTTCTCTCCCGGGGTCCCAGGTTCCCACGTTTACAGAATGGGGAAAGCTCAGGGCCCTCCTTAGCGGTCAGGCCTTGGACATGCTCCCTGGAGGGGCGGATAGGAAAGGCGAGGGAGCCCCTTCTGTCCTCCTCCCCCTCCCCGGCGCCCCACCCCCCACAGCCGGGCCTCACCTGCGGTTCTGGTACCAAGTCTTGACCTGCGTGTCGGTGAGGTTGAGCGAGGCGGCGAGCTCCATGCGGTCCTGCACGCTCAGGTACTTCTGCCGCTCAAAGCTGCGCTCCAGCTGCGCCAGCTGATGGTCGGTGAAGGCGGTGCGCGCCTTGCGCGGCTTTTTCAGGCGCACCGGGGGGCTGTCCCTCGAGCTGGAGATCTCCCGGTCGCCCTCCTCCTTCACTGCGGAGACAGGGGCGCGTCAGGGCCCAGCCTCGCCCTCCCGCCCTGCTCCTGCAGGTCAGGTAACCCGGGTAACCGTGGCTCCGGGACAGCAGTGGCCCCGGCTGCGGCAAAGCCACTGGGAACTGGGACCACGGCCCGGATGGAGGACTGACCCAAAGCCGAGAGAAGGCAACCCACTTTCCCTGCACTCCCCGAGGGATAAACCCAGCGACTGGCTGGATGCCGGGGGAGGGGACCCAGGGGTACGCGCCCACCCGTGGGCTGCGCGAGTCCGCGCTCAGGGGTGCGGGTCTGGGCTCCGCAACTGTGCCCGGGTTCTCTGGCTGCAAATGGGCCAGAAATGGAGGGAGCTGAGGGCTGGAGTCTGGGGAGAAAAACCCGCTTGGAGGGACAAAAAGCTGTGCACCCCGGAGCGAATCGTGGTCCTGAAGATAAATTGTACCCGCATCTCGCCTGGCCCCTCTGTGGATGCGAATCTGTAATGCTGGTCCTGCCGGTTCTTAAACTGCAACAGCACCCAGTGCCCGAGCCTGAGCTCCAGGGTGCGTCGCAGCGCGATCTCCGAGCCAAGGCACTTGGAAAAGTAAGCGGCGGGTTTGTGCCGAGTCTGTTCCCTTGTCAACGCTACGCCCACTGTGGCTCCCAACCAGCTCTGCATTGCCGGGGTGTTTCAGCCCCTCGGAGGGGGCGCCCCAGCAGAGTCCCCACGCCTGAGGCCCCAGGACCGGACCGACAAGATGGTTTATTTTTCCCAAACAACACTTTCGACTTCCGATGGGGGTTGACCGCACTGAAGCGCACACTGCCTCAAACAAACTCGGTCTCCCTCCTTCTCCCCCTAAAGCGAGGGCATAACCCAGTGGTCCGCAAACTGCGGTTCGAGAGCCACATGCTGCTCTTTGGCCCCTTGAGTGTGGCTCTTCCTAAGCCTTAGGAGTACCCTAATGAAGTTAAGAACAATGTACCTACCTATATAGTTTAAGTTTAAAATATTTGGCTCTCAAAAGAAATTCCAATCGTTGTACTGTTGATATTTGGCTCTGTTGACTAATGAGTTTGCCGACCACTGGTCTAACCAAAGAGACCACGTCCCCCAATTGGGGGCCCGGCTGGGGCTCCCCCACTCTTATTCTCTCTGCGCTTTCCTTTATGGTGAATTTCATTGTGCCTGGCGTTAGCAGTGACAAGGTTCAGCTGAATGCGAGTTGATTCCTCTCTGTAGGAAACAATAATCCGGTTAATTGAGCCACTAGGGAGGGAGACATTTCAACCGGAAAGGCCTTGCTTTGCAGCCGGGAGGGTGCGGGCGCCGTGTGCACCGAGGCGGCTGGCAGGGAGAGCACCTCTGGGGAGAAAACGCCTCCTCCCAGCCCAACCAGCCGTCCCTGCCCTCCCCGCTCGGCCGCGCAGGGACTGGCCGCCTCCTCCGGGTGTTGGGAGCTGATTTCCGTCCATGCTCGCAGGTAAAGTTTAATAAAGTGCAAGAAAACAATGATCCGAACTCCAACTTGATCCCGTGGAAACCTTGCTTTTTGACCTAATTGCCTGCCTGACTATTTGTGAAAAACCCCACTTCTGGGGGCTGAGGGCTGAGCTGGGGGTGGAGGGTTGCGCTGCGTTGTCGGGAAGATCCGGCTTTTCTCTAATCCCTCCCGGCACAGGCAGGCGGGCGGGAGCCTTTGGAGGCAGCCTCGGTGCCGCCCAGAACCAGCTCGCCCCTGGGGCCTCTGATCCCAGCCTGGAGGCCACACCTCAACGCCCCTGAGTTTGAGACACCCCCGCCGGGGGGTTTGGAGCAGAGTGCCCGCTCGCCGCTTGGCTTCTTGGCAGACAGACGGACAGACGTTGGCTCCAGCAGCTAGGGTCACGGCAGACCTTCCATGAAAGCCCGGCTGTAGCTCCTTTCAAACAACACTTTCGACTTTCGTTATCTTAGGAGCCTTTGAAGCAGCAACTCAGGTGGCCTGACCGCCCCTCCAGGGCCTCCGTGGAGAAAATGACGCCGCAGGGGAGGTGGGTCGGAGGGGGCCCGCCCGGGCTGGCTCCTGTGTCTGTCTTCCCGCCAGCCTTCCCAGCTCGCCTGAAAAAGTAGCCTCCGCCACTCGCGGGCTCAGCTCGGCGGCGAGTGTCCCCACGCCCTCTGACCCCGGGCTTTGTAGACGCAAAGGCGCACCGCCTCGGGGTGGGGTGGGAAGACCTTCCACCCTCCTCTCCGGCCTATTTGAGTGATGCATGGACAGCCCGCCCTCCCCGCTCCCCGCTCCCCGCTGGGATATCTTCTCTGACAGGAGGAGGACATTGATATTCCCATGATCTTAAACTAAACCTCTCCTTGAAATCCCAAATTAAAGGAGACAAGAGCCAGGTTCTCCCAGCCTGGCACCACCGTTGGCAGCAGGCGACGTTGGCGATTCTTGCCCCTCACTCTAACCACAAAGCTGGGTGCTGTTGAGAATTACGAACCACAAAACATTGCTATAAGTAGACGTTCCTGTCGCTTCTCTGCCTTCCCCTGCACCTGTCTTTCTCTGGGGCGGGTTTCCTTTGCCTCAGGAAACAGCCCCCGGGGTGAAGCAGGGGTTTCTGGGCCCCGTGCCTCCGGACTCCCCGTGGGTGCGCTCCGCCTGCCCGTTTTCTCGTTTCCTCAGCACGGCTGGGCTGCAGGCGGCCGGGCGGTGCGTGGGGAAGCCGAGGACAGCGAGATGGGGTGTGGGGCCCCACACGGGTGTGGGTTTGAGGTCAGGGCATGTCCACAAACGAATTCTTGGCTGGAAGGAGAGTGTTGCGAGCCGTTCCGCATTTTTGTGAAGACTGCGTACAAATAGGCGCTGGGAGGTGCAGGGCCCGCGATGACAGCAGATGCCCTCGTAGGGAAGTGCTATCTGATGAAAAGCGTTCGGGATGAATTCTGAGCTGATAGGGCTCAGAAGGGCCTCGGCCGGCCCCGGGTTTCTGCTGTGGGGGACACGGGCTCTGCCCCGAAGCCCTGACACTCCTTCCCCGCCTGCCTCCCGCTTCTTGCGGGGAAAGAACTCTGACCACTGGCCTCTCAAAGAGCTGAGTCCAGGCCGTGGCCCCGGGCGGGCGGCGAGAATAAAATTAGGGCGCTCCTTTTATGCTTCCCTTTCTTCCTTCCTTTTTCCCTCCCTTCCCTGTCCTCTTACTCTTGATCTCGGCTCCCTGGTTAAGACGGGATGAAAGGGAACAACAAGGAAAGGTTCACAGAGGTGAGAGGCAGGTGAAGGGCCGGTGACCCCCAGGGAAGGGGACGGGGAGCTGGTCACTCGGGAAGCCCTGGGTCCCACACAACCAGAAATGGCTCAATTCTCTTAAAAATCAAATTCAGCGAGAACCGCTGGGTGGGTGCACCAGGGTTCCCCCCTGGACCAGACCTCCAAGCCTGCTCCCAGCCAGCCTCGCAGCCCCGCCTGCTGCTGCTGCTTTGAAGTGAGCGTTCCTTTTGCATAATTCGTGGGGCCCAGAGTACGCTGGGCCCAAGGGGAGGCAAAGCCCGGTTTCTCTCCCCCTCGGAAATCCAGATGAAAGGGTGGAGAATTCTGACTGTTCTCGGCTGGCTTCCGCTAGGTTTTCACTCCTATAAGGAGGGCGTTCCAGCTGAGCCCTAGGGGTCTGGTTGTTTTGCAGTATTTTCTCAGCCTCTGGCCAGATGGGCGCCTGCTCCTGCCCCCCAGCCCCGCTGGAAGGGCAGACCCAGCGGAAGTTTGGAAAGTTTGCTCTGTGCATTTTGGGGGGTCTCTCCTGGGGCGCACAGTATCCCTCTCCCCGCTGTCTCCACCCGACTCTTTGTTGCTCAAAGGCATAGCCACGGGCAGGCGGGAAGGTTCGGGCCCTGGGGGAGCTCGGGCCGGCTTCTGCGTGTCCCCTCCTGTGTGCATGCAAGTTTCACTGCCGGCTTTTAGACTTTTAGAAGCACAGCACCCCCCCCCCCCCCACACACACACACACGCTTCCACCTCCCGCTTTCTTACCTTTATACTCGGAGTCTGACGAGGCATTGCTGCCACTTTTGTCCAGCTTGTCTCTAAAGTCCTCACCGGCCTTGGGTGCGAGGCGGCCCCCGGGCTCAGGGGCGGCAGGCGGCCCGCTACTAGAATAGGGCGCACAGGCGGCCAGTGGTTTGCAGTCGGCAAGGATGTCCCTGATCAAAAAGGAGGAGGTCACTGTACGTGACTGGGCTGGGGCTGAGAGCTGTCCGGCCTGCAGGTGGGAGTCCAAACCTGGGCCCTGTGCCCCGCCAGGCCGCGGGGCGCCCGTCTCCAGACAGTCCCTTGCTGGTGAGGCTGGTGAGGAGCAGTCACTGCTGCTCTCTGAGCGAGGACTCAGTTCCAGGGGTGAGCGGCAGTCCCCAAGCAGGGGGTCCCCCTTGGGAAGGGCGGGGCTGCCCGCCCGGTGGGAGAGGATGGAGTCGATCCCAAAGCCATTGGAGCCTTCCATAGCCAAGCTTCGGCCTGTCCTCTCCGGAAGCTCCCCACCCACCCCCAGCCCCAGCCGACCGCTGTCCTTGCCCCTAGCTGCGGGCTGGCATGGGGAAGGCGGGCAGGGAGCCTGTGGGCACCTTGGATGGAGTTCAGCCTTGGGGGAGCCCAGGAGCGCTGGGCCAGCCTCCTCTGCGCATTAGATCCAAAAGGGCTCAGCGCGTCTTCTGCAGCATCGCGCCTAGTCGCCGAACCGAGGGGGGGTGGTGGGAGTGTCAGGGAGGAACGGGAGGGAGGGTGCGCCAAGTTGGGGAGAGCAAAGGGGGAGACGGACGGCCTGAGCGCTCCTCTGGCACAGAAGAGAGGCGAGGATGTCGGAACCTAAATAAAGGACGGCGTTTAAAAATCCAAACCGCACGCTTCCTCCAGGCGAGCGTGGCCGCAGGCAGCGGGGTCAGCACCGCGGTGAGCAGCGGGCGACGGGCCGGCGGAACGGAGCGCACCTGGTGGCGTCAGCACCGCGGAGAGCGGCGGCGGCGGCGCGCGGCGCATGACTGTCCACCTGGCCCGCAGGTCCTCCTCCGCGCTCCCTGCGCCCGGGGCCGTCAGCACCGCGGACAGCGCCCCCGGGCTCGGCCGCCGCGCTCCCAGCCGGTCCTCCGAGCGCGCCTTCGCCTCCCCCTTCCTTTAAAAAATGAACCTGTGTCACTTTTACTTTGGGGCTCGGGGTTTTGTTTGTTTCTTTCCCCCCCTCGTTATGTTGTGAGTGTGAGTGTGAGTGTGTGAGTGTGTGAGTGTGTGTTTGAGTGTGTGAGTGTGTGTGTGTGTGTGTGTGTGTGTGTGTGTGTGTTTTAAAGGGGACTAGCCCACGTGGCCCCGGAGTGACGTCGCTGATTGGCTCTGGCCGATTTTGGGGGTGATGTCACAGCGCCGCGAGTCTCGGCCCGATTCCCTTTCAGTTTGATTAAAAGAGACACTGAATTAATTACCGCACAGGCCCAACTGTTTACCGGCCGTTTCCACGCGGTTTGCTTTCATTAGGCCGGTGATGAGGCCCCTAATGGGGGTGATTAGCCGAGGGGGGCGGGCTGGCGGGGAGGGGTCCGAGCCCGCTGCGCCGCGGAGGCTCGGGATGCGAGTTTTTTAAGTTTCCCTCGGCCCTTCCCGGCAGTTATTCAAGTGATTCGCCCCCGGGGCTGTCCTAGATCCTTTTCCTCGGCCCCTCCCCGGTCTTCCTTCCTCCGGCCACGGAGAGGGGCCAACCCCGGCGGGGGAGCCCTGTCCTGGGGGCGTTCCCCTGGGTTCCAGGGCTTTCGCGTGGGGCGCTTTGCAGCCCTTTCTCTGCCGCTCGGAGCCCTGCGGTCTGGCGGGTGGGGAGAGCTGGCGTCGCCCCAGGAAGGGGCGGGAAGGTGGCTTCGCTGGGGGCCGAGGGTGGAGAGTGCGGGAGGTCGTGTCTGGGACGCCGGGGACCCCTAGGGACCCGGGGGGCCCGAGGGAGGCGGCAGGGACCCATCCAGCCGGTGGCCTGCTGCGGCCCGGCCCCAGGTCCGCGTGTCTGTGCTTTGATCCGGGAGAGCGAGGGCCTCGGAGGGCGAGTGTAGACGCTGCCAACGGCTTCCTATTTCCCAGGCGGCGCTGGAAACGCGCCTTTTCCCTGTGGATCCCGCGCCCTCGCTCCCTCCCCGCCCCTCCGCGCCTTTGCCCTTCGGGGTCCGCCTCGGGTGCGGCCCCGCGCGGTGGGCGGGTCTGAAGCGCGTCCGGGCCTTTCCTCGCGGCCCGCGGGGTCTGGGCCGGGTCTGCGGTCAAAGGGCGGAGGGGCCTCGCCCGCGGGCCGGCAGCGGGGTCTCCGAGGCGGGCCCGCGCGCCCCGGCTCCCTCCCCACGGGCCCCGAGTGCGGCTCGGCGCCGGAGGCCGCGGCGGAAGGCGGGCCGCCCGCCTCTCCCCGCGCCCGAGACCCAGGGAAGCCCCCCACCGGCCGCAGGAACTTTCTTCCCCTCGGGCAGGGTCGGCGGGCCTCGCCCTCCCCGCGCCCGCCCCGCGCCGGCCGGCAGATTGGAAGCGGCCCCGCCGCGGCCGAGGACGGGCTCCCCGGGGACGGCGATCCGGCTCGGCTGCAAGCTGTCGGGGAGGCGGGGGCGGGCGCCGAGGGGCCGGAGCGACGGGCCCCCGCCCTGGCGCCTCCCACGGGCCGAGCGCGCTGGAAGGAGACGGGGCTGAAGTCACGGGCCCTCCCCGGCCAGCCCCCCGCTTGGGTCCCGTCCTGCTGCGGCGCCTCTGGACCCCGCGCCCCTCTCCCGCTGTCACCCCACCTCTGCATCTCCCCTGGACGCCCGATGGGTCAGCGGGGCTGCCCTCCTGGGCCTTCAGAGGCCGCGACCGCCGCGCGCGCGCACAAAGCCCTCGTCCTGCTCCGGCAGACGGTCGGTCGGAGCGCCCGCCCTGCCCGCCGGCTGTAGGCGAGCGTTAGATCCCGGGCCCAGCGAAAGGAAGCCGCGGCAGGGGGCCTGCGGGGGCTGCGGGGCGGGGGGAGGTCGGGGTGTGGGGGGTGAAGACGACTCTCGTGAACCCGACCCGGCAGCCCTCCCGCCCCTCCCGCTTCTCGGAGCTTGTCGGAGCCCAGGGCATGTAAAAGGCTGTTGGGACAGGTTGGTGCTGAGTGGTCGCCTCTTTATAAGATGCAACCTTCCGCTGCGTTTCCTGTGGAATTTACCGGAGGGCCCGCCCTCTCACGAACATCATCTATTCCTGGTTGGCATCCCAGCTCCACGCCCACCTCCTCCTTCCTCCTCTCAGTCGCCGGGCCCTCCTTGCCCCTCCGCCTGCCGGGCCTGGCGTGAGGTGTGAGCTCCCCTGGCCCTGGTTCCGCTGAGACGCATCCAGGGGGTCCGGGGTGGGTGGCCCATCCTGCCTTAGAGAGAGGAGCCTGGTGTCCCCGGGGCTATGAGGGCTCCGAGGTCCTCAGGGCTGGGTGTGAACCTGGGTAAGTTCCTCGGCCTCTCAGATCGGTTTAGGGTTTATAGGGTAGGAGGTGGCCTCGCCCCTCCCCAGCCTCAGGCCCTGCCCCTGGCTGGCCCCGCAGCTCCCCGGGAGGAAGCCCAGGGAAGGGTAGGGAACCAGGGTGACAGGGCATCTCCAGGACAGGCTGCCCGGACACTGGGGCTGAGCCAAGGGCCCAGAACTGGCAGCCAACGCCCAGCCCCTCTTCAGGACGCTCAGCCCTCCTCCCCTTCCCCTTCCTCTTTGAGCTTCTAGCTTCAAGTTCCAGTCCATGCCCGCCATCCTTTGAGATTGCTTTTAAATCTTCAGCTTCTCATGGACCTGAAGCCCTAGAAGGCCCCACCTTCCCCCCCAGACACGCCCACAGATGGAGCGGCCCTTCCCCAGGGCAGGGAGGGCACTGCCCCGGGGACCTGTCCACTCTCCACAGCCGTGCCTCTGGTCCCGACCCCTGCCTTTCCTTAGGACACAGATGCTAATGCCAGGGGTCGGTAGTGAGGGCCATGGGCACGCAGGAGGCAGCCTGGCTGCAGAATCACATCTCTGTACCTGGGCTCTTGGCGTGGGTTTGGCTGTGGGTCAGGAATGGGCCCGGGAGCCGGGGTTCTTACCAGCTTCCTTCCTCCCAGCCCCACCTCCCTCCCCAGAGGTGCTGCTCAGCCTGGAGCAGGGCCAGGTTGCTTTGCTCACCTTCCGGAGCATGCAGAGCCACGCGGGGAGCTGTGCCACAGGCTCTGGGAAGGACCCTGGTGTCCTCTGCCCAGGAATGACCTGTGGCTTGAGTGCCACCCTTCCCCGCTCTGAGCAGCTGCGGCCGGAGGCCGGTACCTCCTGGGTGGGTGTTGACTCCAGCGTCAGCTGGACCTGGAGCGGACCTGGCTGGGAAGCCGGGCCTGAGACTCAGGTGAGGTGAGCTGCCCAGGTCTTTATTGAAACGGTTCCTGTTTTGCCCTTCAGGGATTTTAAAACTTCGATTGACAAAATATATTGTTTGTCTTGGTTCCTGAGTTTTGGAGCAACCCCGTCAACTGTGTGCCTTAGGCAAGGGCCTTACCTGCCTCGCCACCATCCCAGCCCTGCTGGGGGACCCCCTTCAAACACCTTCTGAGCCTCAGTCATCACCTGCTCCCTGTGAGGGCGCAGGTGGGCCTGGGAGTGGCAGTGCCGCTGTCCTAGTACAGCCACTGGCACAGCAGAGCCTGCTCCCTGGCAGGTTGGAGCGCCCAGGCTGGTCTCCCTAGCCGTCGCCCCCCCCCACACACACACCCCAGAGGTCAGCTCCCCCTTTGCCCAGGCCCTTCCAACCAAAACCAGTTTTCCACGAGGAGTGGGTGGGTGATACAGGCCAGGCCTGGGTGCAGTATCGCTTTCTCAAACAGATGGGTCGGACGAGGCTTTGGAGGATTTGTGGGCTTCAAGGTCACGCTGTTCTCAATCATTTTTGCTGGTTTGGCCCCAAACCCCATGGAGCTCCTGAAACCAGAGAGAGGCTATTCTTTTCCTCCGCCCTCCGCCCTCCCTCTCACGCACGCAGGCTGCCCCCTGTCCCCGCCCCCCCCCCCCACACGCACACACACACACGCACACAGGGTGCGCAGGCTGGCTGCTGGCAGTGTCAGAATGGAGCTCCCAGGGAACCCGGCGCCCATCCATCTAAGTCCCCTCATAGATTGCTTCCCATCTGTGGACTCAAGTGTACAGGTCACCTGGGTAAAGAGCCAACCTAGTTTTTGTTTAATTTATTTTAAAAAAATACACTTTTACTGATTTCAGAGAGGAAGTGAGAGGGAGGGAGAGATAGAAACATCAGTGATGAGAGAGAGTCATGGATCTCATTGGTCGGCTGCCTCCTGCTCCCCTGCACTGGGGACTGAGCCTGCCACCCGGGCCTGTGCCCTGACCAGGAATGGAACCGTGACCTCCTGGTTCATAGGTGGACGCTCAGCCCCTGAGCCACGCTGGCTGGGCTTGTTTACATTCTTTTAATGAGTTTAAGCATCAAAGGTTTTCAGAGTAAAGAGAAAGGAAGCGAAAGGGCAGTTTGGCTCCAGGAGGAAAACGCAGGAGAAGGCGTGTGATGGGAAGCGCAGGCCGGGCTGGCTGGACGCAGGCCCACCGGGGGCCCCGAGCTGCTGGTCTGCCTGCTGCCATGGAGACGTGCTTCCTCTGAACCCCCGAATCTGTGGTCTCCAGACCAGCACCGGTTGGGGAGGTGGGATGGGGGGACCGAAACGCCAGGCCTTCTCTGTCGCGTCCGGGGACTCCCGGGACTGGCCTTGGCTCCTCGGCCCATGAGCAGTGCTTTCTCGTCAGGCCAGTCGCAGGAACTGCCTCTGCTGGTTCTTTGCTGCCATCGCTGCTAAAACCCTGCACAGCAGCCCGATCCCAGACCTCACCCCCTCGCTTTCTTCTTACCAAGAAAATTATTAATTATCTGGTTTTATGAGAGAGAGAGAGAGAGAGAGAGAGAGAGAGAGAGAGAGAGAAAGAGAGAGGGGCAGTGCGAGAATGAATGAGGTTTGGGCTTTGGTAGAAAGCCCTGGCCACGCCAGCAGAGGGATCTGGAAATAGACGGGAGTCAGTGGGGGGGTTCGGCATGAAAAGAAAAGCTGACCTCCAGCCAAGAGGTCTGCTCCGCCCTCGTGGGCTGCGAAGCACCTGCAGGCTCTTCCTCTCGCGGGACTGTAGTCTCCCCAGGTCCCGTGCCCGAAGGCTCCCCGCAAGGCCCTTGCTGCCCCTCCTGCCGGCGCACCAGCGTGGGCACCGCCTCCCTCCCGCTGCAGAGGGGACTTCCAAGAATTTCAGGCCGACCACGTGACGGTCCAGACCAGCCCCCTCCCCCGGGCCCCCCAGCTCACGGGGACAGTCCGCACGGGCCTCTTTGTTTGGTTACATCTCTGATGGGCTGTTGCCAGGAAACCCAACCAGGAGGTAAAATGTCCGCAAGTGCCAATCAGCAGGGAATGAGCAAAAACAGGTGCATGCCACACCGCCGGTGACGGCCGTCCCCACATGGCACTGGCCGCAGTGGGACTGGGGACTCGGGATGCAGAATGAGGCTGGGCTCTCCCCGTGTCCGCCCATCTTTGAGAAATAGTCCGAGGGGCGGGCTCCGGGACATACAGGATGGCGGTCACTGGCCTGGGACGGCGAGTGGCCTAACTGCTGACCAAACTCCCCTCCGCCCACCTCTCTCTTCCATCTGAGAAGGGGGAGGGCGACGCAGGGATGCTAACAGAAGACTCCCGTGGCCACGCCAGCAGAGGGACCCCAGTTGTGTGTGGGGGATCCCTCAGCCTGGGTCAGCACCAGTGAGGACCGGCTGCGGCAGAGGCGACAGGACACCTAAGAAGGTGGAGTGAGATGGAATCCGACCTGGGACTTTGTGCAGGTGCAAATAATTAATGAGAGAAGAGCCACGTGGGGGAGGGGCGAGGCGGGAGGGAAGGGCCAGCTGCCTGGCGGCCGTGGGCTCGGGCCTGCCAGCGGGTGGCGCTGTAGGACAAGGAGCTGAGGGGCCCTCGGAGGAGAGACGCTGGGGCCCAGGCGGGGTGCACCCAGAGCCGGGATCCGGGAGAGGACTGAGGGCGCTGCCCAGGGCCCCCCTCACAGCCCCAGCAAGTCCCACAGCGCTGCCTGCCTGCCTGCCTGCGGGGCGAGATGTGAGATCAGGTACAGGAGAGATTTCCCCGCAGCCTTTTCGGGCCAAGTTCACACGTTCCTCTTGGCCCAGCAAGCCTGGGGGTGGGATGGGCGGGTGGTGGCTCGCCCTGGGCATCTCCCTCGTTGCCATAGCAAGCGGCCCGCCCTTCGGTGGGCAGAGCCTAGTTTCAGGGACTTCTGTGTCCTAATGTGCCCCTCGCCCTTCGCATGAGGGTTCAGAGCACAGGGGTGTGCTGGGTAAACACACCTTTCCCCTCTTGAGCACCCGATGCCACGGCTGTTCCCCGGAACCTCCTGCTCTCCTCGCCCTCCAGCGTCACAGGGCCGGCGGCCCCTTCATGGCGCTTTATTGATAAGAAAGTGGTAACTCAGGGTACGTAGGACCCCGGGCTAACCTGCTGGCCGCCCTCTTTCATGCAGTCGTTGTCCGATGTGGCTTGAGCAGATGTCCTGTCCTGTGTGGGGGCTTTGTCTCAGGTGAGGCACAGAGAGGTCAGGACACTCGCTGAAGGTCACACAGGAATGACCGGGTGGAGCTGGGCTTTGCACGCTTGACCGAGGGGCTGGCTGCTGGGCTCAGGGGCAGACCTGCTCCCGGGGGTGGGAAGGATTCGGGCACGTTAGCCGAGGGGGGGGGGGTGGGTTTCTCCGGCTCCTGTGGTGGCAGGAGGATTTCAGGCCCTTGGGACGGGGTGGGGTCCGGGACGGCCCTGGCTGAGCCGAGTCCTGAGGGGTTAGTGTGTGTGGCTTTTTTGTGGAATCGGCTTCTAACACAGCTGCGCCTGCGAGAGGGGCCGACTGCAGGGGAACTCACTCAGATCTCTAATCACCTGCTGGGCTTGTCTCTGCCAGGCCCGGCCTGTAGGGGGCGTGAGTCACCGGGAACATTCACGCTGAGGGTCCTCCCACAGATATCAGGGGGCACTGCCCACGGTGGGCTCCGGGCCCCATGCCACTTCCCTCCTGAGAAGTCAGGCCCACACAGGGTCACTGTTTCCGGAGATAACGCAGGAGCCGGTCCAGGGCAGGCCTTCAGAGGAGGGGCCTGGCTTTTGAGCGAAGGTCTGCATGACAAGAAGGGGCGGGCAGGGCACCACCTGTGGCCCAGGGGTCCTGATGGAGGGAAAGGCGGCAGGACACCTAAGGCAGGAGGAGTGAGCGGCCGCCACCTGTGGGCCGGGGATGGAGCCAGAGGGCTGGCCTGGCCGGCCGTCTCACCTGGGGTCCCTCCCAGCCTGGGCAGGAGTGGGGTCTCACTTCCGGTGGAGGGAAGCCACCGAGTGCTGAGGGCTGCTCCCTGGCGGTGGGGTGAGGGGGAGCCGGGAGCTGGTTCCCCAGAGAAGAGGGGCCCAGAGAGAAGGGGGTGGACCAGGGCGGTCTTGGAAGTGACGTTGGGCTTGTGATGGGTCAGGTGTCAGAGGTGGGGGACACATTTGGCTTCGACAGCGGGTCGACGGTGGTGCCGTTCATGAGATGGGAAACGGAGGGAGAGCAAGGTTGGCCGGAACATCAAGGGGCCTGTCCGGCTGTGCTGGTTTGAGATGAGAATCCGACAGGAGAGGCAACCAAGTCGGATACATGAGCCTGGCGTTCGGGGACGAGCCTCAGGCCAGAGGTGGGCTTTGGAAAGCCGGGAGGCGCGCTCCGTGCAGGCGCTGTCGGAGGCCTGGCGGGCTCACGGCCTCGGAGAGTCTCCACGCGGTCACAGCAGCGTGGGAAGCGCCTGAGGCTGCTCCTCGCACCGTTATAACGGTGCCGGTTTTCAGATAGAGACACAAGAGGAGGACGACAGCAGCGTTTTAATTGAAAACAGGTCAGGATATCGTCTGTGGGGAGAAGCCGGGGATGCGCCCAGAGATGGAGGCAAGAGCTGCCGGGGGAGTCGGGGGTTTGGCTGAGAATTCCTTCGCCGGTGCCCTCCAGCCCCGCTTCCCGGTCAGTCTTGGGGGAGAAGCCCCCGGAGGGGGGAGCAGGCCCGGAGGAGCGAGCGTGGTGGGGCGTCAGGCACCCCAGAAAGAGCAACTAAAACTCGTGTTTGCAGCTAAACGAGGGCTTTCCGGGCACGTTAAGGGCAGGAATTCCGCAGGAAACTCCCGCGTGGTCCCTGATGCGGCACAGCCTCGACTCCGGCCTGGAGGGAGCGTCTGCCCTGTAATTGGGTTTGTGCTGTCCCATCGGGTGAGGGCTTGAGAGAGGGCGGGCGGCTGCCAGAGGACGGGGAGTCCCCAGGTCGAGGGGCGCTGGGCGAAGGTGAGCTAGTGTTGCCTAACTGAAGAGGGGGGCTCGTAGCAAAAATAACTAACCTAAGACCTGACCCTGAGGTCCTTGCAGCAGCAGAACCCACGTAAACACAGGAGTGGGGCAGGACGGGGGGGCCTTCCGGAATGTTCCGCGTGCGGAGGCGGCTTCAGGGGTGGGTGTAGTTGCCCATCCGCAGGGTTCCCTGGCGCACAGCATGCTCTTCCCGCTGGGCTTTGAACGCTCTCTGGCGGTCGGCCTCGCTGGGGAAGGTGTCGAGGTGCGGGCCCACCTGCGGATGGAGGGGAGGGCAGGTCGGGGGGGCACAGAGGCTGGGGGGCTCGCCCCGTGCTCCCCTCCCCGCTTCCCTCACCTCCTGCCCCGGGCTTCATCTTGGAGAAATGATAGAATAGCAGGGGCACAGCGTGAGGGGGAGAGCTGGGAGGGTCCTGGCTGGGGGAGGAGGGGCGGAGGGGGGTGACGGGCCAGGGCACAGAGGCAGGGCTTTCCCTCTGTGCAGTCACTGCAGCGTGACGGGGGCGTCACGGTGCCGCGTGGTGATGGCTGGAGTCACTGCGCGGGGGCCCAGTAGCCAGCGCATCCTTCCCAGCGGCGTCCCCACCATCCCCACCGTTAACCCCAACGAGCCGTCCTGTCCCAGGGCCTCCTGGCACTCACTCCCCTGGGGCTGGAGGCGGTGAGTCCCGGGCCCGCGCAGCAGCACCAGAACCAGAGTCCAGGGCCTGTCCCCCGTCCTCCAGAGGCTCATGGGAGGGAGACAGATCCAGGAGCCGGGGCCCCGCAGTTCAATGTGGTGCGATCGATCGCATTTCAGCCGAGCCCCCTTCCCAGGGCCTGGGGGGTGAGGGGGGAGCCCTCCCGTGTCCCGCACGCGTCCCATCGCCTCCAGGTGGGAGGACACCCCTGGAACGGGGTCTCGTGCGGGGGAGCCCGAGGGAGGCCCTGGAGAAGGGTGCAGGCTTGCTTGTTTGCCTTTTCCTCTCCCTCCTGCATTTATTCAGGACCCCTCCCCTCCCGGAGCTTGAATCTGGAAGGAACCACGCTGAGGTGGGGGTGCAGGGAGAACAGAAAGTCAGCCTCCTGAGCTGGGGCCTCTCTGGGGCAGACACTCAGGGGCACTTCGGGCTGGAGGGTGAGCAGGGGCTGGGGGGCAGCGTGGCGCTGGCCCGGGGGCCCATCAGAGCCGGGTTTACCAGGCGGCCGAGGTGAAGGGCTGGCAGGCGGGTTCCTTCTGGGTTTGCTCTGCCGTGACTTCCCGGTAAAGCAGGACCCAAGCCCCAGGCCCTGGTCAAGAATCCAGGCCGTGGTTGGCAACCACCACCACCCCCCCAGCCCCCAGGGGTTAGTGGGCCCACGGGGCTGCAGGCAGCTTTCCGAGCGACAGTCTGAGAACCGAAGACCAGGGAGAGGATGGGGAGCTCTCAGGAAAGGCCTCCGTGCTCAGTGCCCAAAATCCGGCCCCTTCAGGGAGCAAGAGGTTGGGCATCTCACCCTGGGGGAGTCATGACCCTATCGGAGCCCGTGCCCAGGTGGCTTCCTGCAGGCCAAGTGGTTCCTGGGGGCCACACCCCGGCCTGCCTCCAGGACACTGTCACCGCACCCCCCAGGTCTGGGCACTGCTTAGGGCCAACGAGACCCATACCCAGGTCCTGGCCTCAGGTCCGGGGCCGGGCTCACCGTCAGGGGAGAGCGGGAACATCAGGGTGCACACGGGCCCAGTGGAATCCAACTTGGCTATTCCCCATTTTACAGATGGGGAAACTGAGGCCCAGAGAGGGTTTGGCCTAGGATTGGCTCCACAGGGAATCAGAGGCAGACAAGCTCTGTTATAGCACCATCCCCCAATCTCTAGGCACTACGTTCCGGATTCTTTCTAGAATATTCTGCCCATGCTGAGGTTTGTTGGTTAGTTATTCCAGGACATAAGACCACAGTCTTCATCTCTGGCGGGTGTAGGCTCTTTCGAGACTCTACAGAAAGCCATGGACTCTCTCCTCAGGGAGGAAAAATACCCCCAAGTCCTAACTCGGAGGTCCACGGACCCTCTGTCCCTTCGCGGGCCCTCTGTCCCTTCGCGGGCCCTCTGTCCCTTCGCGGACCCTCTGTCCCTTCGCGGGCCCTCGGTGGCGGTGTTTCCGGAGCCGTCGGGGCCCCAGCCGCAGGTCTCAGATTTCTTGGCTGTGTCAGGGTCATGCCCGGCTCTGGTAACCTGATGCCCACCCGACCCAGGGCTCAGCACCTGGCGTTCAAGGCATTTGATGGAACCATGATCTTGTCTCCAGCTTAATCTCCAGTTTCAGAGAAATTCCCACGTGGCCTCGGAAAGGTTATTGAGCAGAGAGAATAGCCAGAAACAGAGGCGTCTGTGCACTGTGGTGTCGCCTCTGGCAAGGGACGGCTTGATTCTGACACCGTGACATGATTTCCCAGAAGGCAGCTGGAGGTGCTCCGTGCGGCTGGCACGTCCGGTCTCTGGGGGCCTCGCGGGCACCCTGCCTGCTTCGCATGCCCAGCCGGCGGGGACTCCCGGGTCCAGGGCCTTCCGTGGCGCTCAGAGCAGCAACAGCCTGGTCCCTGGTGGCCAGGCACGATGACTGTTAACAGGAAGCTCCTCGGTCCACAGGTCTGCGGTCTCCACACACTGCGGCCCTGGTAGAGGGCTGAATGGTGACCCTGGAGGGGGTGTCTGTGTCTTAACCCCTAGGACCTGTGACTGTGACCTTATTTGGAAAAGGGGCCCTTGAAGACGTAATGCAGGATGTAGAGATGAGAACATTCTAATTGTTCTGAGGGGCACCCTGATGAGCACCCTTGTAAGAGACAAAGATGCAGACGTAGGGGGGAGGCCGTGGGAAGATGGAGGCAGAGGCTGGAGGGATGTGACCACAGCCCGGGAGCCACCGGGAGCCGGGTGAGGCGATGGGTACGGCTCATGCTGGGTGGTGGGTGGGTAGGTGGGTGGGTGGGTAGGTGGGTGGATGGGTGCTGATTTGGTGCTGACGGGCTCTCCTAAAAGCTGACCGAAGCCAGAGCTCACCCCCGTGCGGGGTGAGTCTTTTCTGTCCCGGGGATCCCTGATGCCCACGGAGAGGGGCTCAGCCCTCAGAGGCGAAGCAGCAGGGCGCCCCGTCAATAGCAACGTCAGAACCACGGGCCTGGGACTTGCGGGGCCCAGCATTTATTCCGCACAAGCCTCGGAGCATCCAGGTGTGTCTCCGTCGTGCAGATGGGGAAACGGGCCCCAGACGGCAGGGCCACGCCCCAGGTCACACAGGGTGAACCCAGAGCGGGGACTCTGGGCCCAGGTCTCCGTGGCGACACTCACCCCCATGTTAAATGCTGATGACACGCGTCGTGTGAAAGTCTCTGCCGGGAATGTGGGCTCCGGTCCCACGTGCTCACTCTCCTCCCGAACCGGCAGCTCCGCCAGCGATGAGGATCCTAATGACTAGTCAGGCCTCACGCTGTGTGTGGTCACGACCCAGCGGACCCCCGAGTGAAAGCAGCGCGGAATTCCTTCAGAGATGCTTCTAAATTAAGCCGTCCGCAGGCTGCCCGCGCCCGGAGCGGGAACTGTGACGGCTCTGGCAGGAGGCGGCTTTGCTGACTGGAGCTGAGTCGCTGGGTCAAGGCAGGTAAATAGGGGCTGGTGCCAGGGCAGCCAGCGGTCCGAGGGCCCGGCCGGTGGGCGGGGGCGGCGATACCCAGGTGCGCCAAGGCGCTGGGCCTGTTCGAATGGACAGTGTTGCCCAGATAAGGACCAGGCGCCGCCACCACGGGGGACACTGGCGAGTAAGACAGGCCGGGCGCTGGTCTACGCTCTCTGCTATCATTAACTTCGACGACAATAAGACTGTGGTCTGGGGAACTCTGACTCCATTCGGGGGCCACAAGATCTTTCTAGAGAAGATAGGAAGAGGAGGGGAAAGTGTCCTAGGGGTGGGGACCAGCCCAAGCCCTGGTGATGAAGAACGAGAGGAAATGTGAACCGTGTCCAGCACGGCCAGGGGTGAACCTGAGGAGGGGCGGTGAAGGATGAAAGAAGACAGACAAGAGAATACAGCTGGGACCAGGTGTATCACTGTGCCTGGATGAGGAAACAGTGACACAGCCTGTAAGCCGAAGCTTTATTTTATACGCAGTGGTTCTCAACCTTCTGGCCCTTCAAATACAGTTTCTCATGCTGTGACCCAACCATAAAATTATTTTCGTTGCTACTTCATAACTGTGATTTTGCTACTGTTATGAATCGTCATGTAAATATCTGATATGCACGATGGTCTTAGGCGACCCCTGTGAAAGGGTCGTTCAACCGCCAAAGGGGTCGCGACCCACAGGTTGAGAACCGCTGTTTTATAGTCAGATCACACAAGCAAAGCAAGGGCAAGGTGTTTACAATGTTCTTGCGAATTTCAAATGTGCTTCTTTCCTGTTGTTGCCATTCTCTGAACTCTATCAAGCCTTGTTTTGGCAGCACTTGCTTCACCCCCCTCAGCCCACAGCCCTTAGCTACCTCGGCCTGCAGGGTCGGACTACAAGGTCAAGCTTACAACCATAGCCTTTGGCTCTAATTGTGCTGGGAGGGCTTTGCCCTCCAAGCTGGGACATGTATGTGGCTTTGCCACCAGTCAGTCTGAGGCTTGAACCTGTCCAAACACTGTAGCCGCTCTCCACAGAAATGCAAGCAAGCCAGGGTGCCCGTTAGATCTGATGAGAGACTTGTAGCCAACGCTGCCCTGAGGAGTCGTAATTCCCTCCCCCTATTGGAATACAAGATTTCCAGGCAGCCAGGGTTGGGAGAGACCTTGGAGGTCACTGGACCCCACTCTCCCATTCTGCAGGTGGGAAATCTGAGGCCCAAAGGTGGAAAGCGATTCTCCCAGGGCCCCTGGGGGTCCCGGGCAGAGCTGAGCCCGGCAGCCAGTGTACCCGTCGCCTCTCCTCCGGCCGCTCCCTGCCCACTGTGGTCCCCACTTCGCGCTGGACCTAGATTCTCGGGTTCCATTTCCCAGCCATTCAGAAGCATCGCACTTTTCTGGTCCACTTTCAACGAGCAGCGTTTCATTTGGTTGATCCTCTTAGTTATTAGCTACCCTCGTCATTTCGCCAGTTTTGCTCTTGACTTCGTTAGATCCTTCTTTGAGGTTTCTCTGTTCTTCCTTTTCTGGCATCTAGAGGCATCTGCTCAGCTAATCCCCTTCTAATCCTCTTTTTTCTAACCTTGACATTTATATAACACTAGTGACCCGGTACACGGATTCATGCACATTG